ACTCTCTCTCTCTCTCTCTCTCTCTCTCTCTCTCTCTCTCTCTCTCTCTAACTCTCCCTCTCTATCTCTCTCTTTTGTATATGCATTATGCAATGTGCGTTTTCCCCAAACGGCCCAAAGTCCTTTTTTCCCTTTATTCATTCCGTTATTTCCCAACGTCCTTTATTCCTTTATGATTTTCCCGTGTCCTTTATTCCTTCATTCCTTTCTTTCGCTCCATCCCATTTCTCTTTGCCCGTGTGTGACTTGTTACGGTTGAGGGCATCATGGGACAGCGCACAGTTAATGATGGGATCTCTGGCCTCTCATGTGTGCTTTTTATCTTATTCTTTGATCTAAGGTGGGAGGGGAGGAGGGGGGAGCAGAGGGGGTGAAAGTGATATCATAGTTGTGAGAGAGTAAAATAGAGATACATGTTGAGAGAGAGGGGGGGGGGTGGAGGAGAGAGGTAGGAGAATGGTAAACAAGGGTGAGACAGCAACTTAGAGAAGGAGACATAGGGAGAGAGACAGACATAATTATATCATATAAACAGAGTGAAAGAAAGAGAGAGTGGGATGGCGCAGAGAGGATAGAGAAGAAGAAGAACAGCAGAAATAGCGAAATTGACACTACCAACAACAATAATAACAATAAGAAACAGACTTACAGAAACAATGAAAATCAGAACAGAGAAAAGAAACGAAAGAATTATGCAGAAATATGGAGAACACGAAGAAAGAAGAGAGAAGAACATTCCTGCACTGATGGAAATCGAGCGAACGAAACAAGGGCAATCTCATTTTTACCTCGGAGATGGAATTCTTATTCCCCGACACATTTCTTTTCACAAGAGATCATTAGTCGATGCACAGGAAATTGTAATCTGTCGCTTTTCATTGTCGATGTTCTTCTGGCGTCGGGAGCCTCGTCTTTTTGCGGATAATTTCTGGCATTTTTACGACACATAGGAAGAATGTATTCAGGAGTAGAGGCATTCTGGAGAGAGGAGGCTAGACACAGTGCGGGACTGGCGAATGATTCGATAATTTGATCCACAATTGGAATATCTTCCACCTTTTTTTTTGGCTTGAGAGAGTGGTAGGAACTGGTGAAAGGAGGGACTGGTAAAATGTTGTCAGCAGTGGTGGCAACGTATTGTTAATGATCTATAAGTCTGATAACAAATGTAGCCGCGATTATTCCTGTTAAGTATGGTAATGATATACAGAGTCAACGATGGTGATGATGATGATGATGATGATGATGATGATGATGATGATGATGATGATGATG